TGTCTCAAAGTCTTACCATGTTGCATCAATTTCACTACCTAAAGTGTTGTTAAAATTAACTTCTTTCTTGTATCAGACTTTACTGAAGCATTTTTTAACCTTAGGAACGTAAAGCAATTTTGTGAATTGTCAGGGTCCTGCTATACACACTGTAATGAAGATAGGAAAAGAGAGAAAAAAGGAGGGAAGAAGAGGGAGGAGAAAGAAAGAGAAGAGGGGAGGGAGACAGAAAGAGTGACACATTGATTGACTGTAAATATTTTCTACAAATGAAAGAAGTAATGTCATAGTTCCTGTGGTGGCCATATAATACTATATGATTTTCTTTTCAGTAATCTTATCCTCTTATGTTTAAATTACTACTGGATGCCCACTAAACTTATTCTTCCATAGAATTAATATTTTTATTTATAAGACCCTCTATTCTTTGACTAAAGACGTTAATAGTTTTGTGATAAGGATTTTTCTCACCAGGAAAAAAAAAAAACAAAATCAACACAATCTTTTCCCTTACAGTATAATCAGTCCACTTCTCATCACCACAGGCGCCAACATGGTTTGGGCTGCCTGCTCAATATGCTCAGAATTTCCTCTCCCTCGCCCTGGACCTGGCTCCCTCAACAGAGCACTCTCTCCTTCCCCTGAACTCTTGGAAGAGCTCTCCAGCTGTGACTGCACCTGAGCTCCACCCTAATAAACATACTGTCCGTTTTAATTTTACCAAGATTTCCTCGTTGCTAAAATTACTAACCTCTTTTTCACTTTTCACTCCAAATGACCTTCTCTGTCCCCAGCACACTGTTGACTACTAGCCACTCCCTAAAATGCTTTCCTCATTCATTATTCTTCTCCTGGTTTCTCTTCCTCTGCTTATCCCTTAAATATTGGTATTCTTCCGGGTTCTGTAAGGTTCCTCTTTTTTGTACATTGAGTAAAAGCCCTGGGAAATCTTGTTCGTGGCGTTGCTGCTCACAAAGTGTTTCCAATTCTCCCTCCTTCTGCACATGAGCTAGAAGTGCAATTCCCTGACTCCTTGAACTTGGCCAAGGCCATTTAATTGTTCTGGCCAATGAAATGTGACCCATATTGCTCGCTGGCAAAGCCTTAAGAATCAGTCAGTATGTAATTGGCCACATCAGTATTTTCTTATCCCAGTGGTCATGGAAATGTGTTTCCAAGATGGGCCCTGAGGGATCATGACCAGCAGGAGCTGCCAGCCTGCGCCGGACCCAGGACATGGGGAACACATGACAAGAAGCAGGAGCTGCCAGCCTGCGCCGGACCCGGAACACAAGGAACAACGCTGGGGGAGCCACTGTGGAGTGTGAGGCACTTTATTACCACAGCAGCACTCAGCCCATCCTGACTGATAACCCCACTACTCATTCAAAAATATGTATTTCCAGCTCAATTCCTCTGCTGACAATGAACTCCAATGTATCAATGTCCCAATATGGCTTCTACTCAGAGAGCTGTCAGAACTGAGTGTTAGAAACATTTTTGCTACCTAAAGAAATCCACCAAAGCTCAGGTAAATGATGAGATGAGATTTCCCCTGTACATGTTTACCGTTTTGTTTGCACCAGCCTTCTCTGAAGCCCAAAAGTTTGCTTGTTTACTAAGCAAAACACCACAACGTCGTCTTCAGAAAATAATGTACCAGCAATAAATAATAAATAATAATTTCCACCTTCCCGTCTCTGTTCAGAGACCAGTGTCACAATCCTTTTCCACTCAACATGTATCAACACCGAGGCTTTCCCTGGATAAATTACATGTTACCTTTCGCTCAGTGTAGCTTGCTGAAAACCTTGTCCTGAATTTTATTCTTGTAAAACTAGCATTTAACACTCAGAACTATTTAAGTCTATATTTCATTTCCCTGTTACGTTATGCCTTAATTGGATGTTTAAACACCAAGTCTAAGGAAAATCTCCTCAGGAGCTTCACTATCAGAGTGCTTGTCTTGAGACGCGTCACGGTTCCACGCCTTGTGATCTCCCCGGCTCTACAATCGGGAACCCTCTTCTTCCCGGGAGTTGTCGTGTGGATTCAAGACATAAAGCAGGTAAAGTTTTAGGAAAGTGCCCACCAGGTGGTCAATGCTCTCCAAGCCAGAGCTAGAACTGCTATCATGAATCCCTAACTGAGCATGTATTAAGCAACAGGAAGATACCAGTCACTGAAAGAACACTTTTACATCAGGTTGAAAAGCTAACATCGTCAGCAGCAAGAAGTAAATCCAATTCTGTAAAAGTCAAAAGACGTCCTTTCAATTATGATGTATATTCTGCCAACACTAAGCAAATTTAGAAGGCTATTTTTTAAGAAAGGAGAAGAGGAAGAGAGGAACAGGGAAAAGAAAAGAAGAGGGAGAGAAGGAATGCACACACAGTGGAAACTGGAAGAATTTCTAGGCCATGTGGTAGCTTGACAGTACAGAACCTAGTGGCTTGCACAAACTCGTTACAAAACAACCATTTCTTGACTGGCAATCGGGGTTGGGTTGAAAAATGATGCCACTGAAAACCATTCATTTTATAGAAAAATAAAAATTTAGGTAACATTTACTGAGAATCTGTCAACGTGGCAAGTTCCTTCCTAAGAGCAACGTGTAGATGAGCATGACCTTGTTCCCAGCAACCCCGCGAGTCCAACCCCACTTCAGAGAGGGGAGGGTGAAGAGGCTGAGTGACACACGAGTGTGCACCAAGACCTGGACACAGACCCACTAGCGAGGCTCCAGGGCTGCATTCCAAACCGTGCTTGCAAAACTAAGAGGCCGCTCCAACTCAGAACCAAGACCCTGAGTAAAGAGCTTGATGAGCCAAAAATAACAGGTGTATAAGATGAGAAGAAATAATAAAGTGGAGACTGAATTGAGGAAAAAATGACAGAAAATAAGTTGAACTGAAGAAAAAGGTGGGCTAAAAAAGGAGTCACAGTAAAAGGCAGTGTAGCTTTAAAGATTTTAAATTCATATTTAAAATTAAATTTACCCTCAAATATCATAAATGCAAAAGTAAAAAGATTTAGGAAAAAAAATCCTAGAACTGTACATACATTAGAATATTCTAGTTTTGTGGTTAGGTGCGGTGGCTCACGCCTGTAATCCCAGCACTCTGGCAGGCTGAGGCAGGCAGATCACTTGAGGTCAGGAGTTTGAGATCAGCCTAGCCACCATGGTGAAACCCTGTCTCTACTAAAAATATGAAAATTAGCCAGGTGGGCTGGTGCTCATCTGTAACCCCAGCTACTCGCAAGGCTGAGGCAGGAGAATCGCTTGAACCCAGGAGTTGGAGGCCTGCAGTGTGCCAAGATCACACCACTGCACTCCAGCCTGGGCGACAGAGTGAGACTCTATCTCCAAAAAAAAAATGTTCTAGTTTTGCTCACATGAAAGAAATAACATAGCACTTACCAGAAAACACGTATAAATACTTATGTGATTCTAACTCTATATATGATTACTTTAAAAATTTATTTTTAAATAATTTTAATACTATTGTAGAATTACTGACTTGAATATATTTGAAATGCAAATTAAACTGCAATGCAAGTCTAAAGAGAGAACTTTCCCCATTACCACAATTAGAATTTATACTCAGTAGTAACGCAGCATTTTTCTTTGACTTTAGCAAACATGTTACACACAGATATCTGGAGTTCTGTCAGGTACAGGAGATGCACACTGGATTTCCCGAGTGCACAGCTAAGGGCATTCTCAAGGCAAGCCCCAGTGAAAAAGCAAACAATCGACACAGAAGGCCTCACTCTACTTACTGCCGCAGATGGCCTGGGGCTTTATACGGTTGGTGGTATGTTACTAATTTTCGAAGAGTTAACCATTTTTAAAATAACATTCACCTGAGAAAATGGAATACATCTTGCCCAAACTTTTTGAGACACAGTCTCACTCTGTTGCCCAGGCTGAAGTGCAATGGTGCGATCTTGGCTCACTGCAACCGCCACCTCCAGAGTCTGAGCCATCCTCCTGCTTCAGCCTCCTGAACAGTGGGGACTACAGATGCCCATCACCATGCTGGGCTAATTTTTGTATTTCTGGTAGAGACGGTTTCACCATGTTGGCCAGGCTGGTCTCAAACTTCTGGCCTCAAGTGATTCACCTGTCCCAGCCTCCCAAAGTGCTGTGATTAGAGGCGTGAGCCACTGCACTTGGCCTATCTTTTCAAAGAATTATTTGATTTCCACTGTGTTGTAATAAGACTTCCAGCAAAAGACAGCAAAAGATAACCTTCACTATTAATTATCCACAGAGTGAGGCATAAATCCATGTGAAGATTTTTTGTTTCATCTAAATGCACACAAATTACATTTTAAATAAAAATGAGTAAAATCAATACTTAGGAAGAGCTTCTCATTAACTGTACATTAGCACATACTGTGAATTCATCTCATATACGGTATCACGATGATAGCAACTACTGAGGAGTCAGACTTTTTGTTAATGATTTTACACACATGGTGGATGCATAAATAACAATTTCAGAAATATAATCAATTCAGGATATAATCAAGCAGCCTTTAAAACTAATCTTTGGCTTTCAATATGCTTCTTCTGACGTGCAAATAAATAAAACTGGCTTAATACTATAACATCAAATTAAATACTATAAAAACATTAATATAGATTCCTTTATTTTAAAATGAACTATCAACATAAAAGAGTGCAAACTGTAAAATAAATAGACTGAAGATAAGAAATTAGCCACAATTAACTGTCAAATTACGGGCAAATTATGTATCTAACCATGAAAATTTAAGACACATATAAAACTGATTAGCCAAGCAATGATACTTTTGGAAATTCGCCAGTATGAGAATGTTGTTATATAAACACAGAGAATTCATATGGTAAATCACCAACATTTTCGAAAGTCTACTTTAAGCCAAAAGAATGAGCTTTCAGAACTATGCAGACTTTCTTGCTGAAAGGAAAAACAAGATCGTTAAGGCAGTTGCTCCTCAATCTAGCCTACCTTATTTTTTGGATTGGATGTGTTCATTACACTTCGAGTCTCTTTTCCAGTATAAATGACAACACCTATTACCGTACCTGCAAAAACACGAAAGTGGTCCTTATAGAAACACTTTACAGATGAGTAAAAGATAACACTTTCTAATTCATTGTTTTGATGGAAAGCATTATCACACTATTTTATATAAATTTATCCAACAGTGTATTTAATTTGGCTACTTCAAGAAAATCTAATCTCAGCTTTAAAAATGGCCTTTGAAAATGTCAAACGATTTGTTAAGCAATACAAATGTACCTACATATAACATCAGGAAATGTACTAACATTCTTTTCACTGACAACAGAGACAATGACAATGGCCTTTCACTACTGTCTACTGAAACGGTGGTTCTATCACTGAAGGTCAATGAAGAGGCTATATTCTTAACTGATCAAACTTGTCCTTTGACCTTCAAATAAAGATGGTACCAGTTGAACCAGTTTCTTTTAATGTATTTCCACTGTAAAGATCAAAGTATTACTAAATATCAGTGACAGTCTTTGCTAATATTTCAAAATGTATACAATTAAAATAGAAATATTATAAAAAACAGTATTTGACTTTGCATTTATAGAAGCTATTACTCTTTTTTATACATGTCAAAAAGATAACAATAATTTTTAAATTCAAGAGAAAAGAATTTAAAAAAACCCTTGGTATGACCGATAGACTGCAAAGGCTAAAGGGCACTTAGCTCTAGAATGTCAGTATTAAAATCATGGAAGTCTCTTTCTGCAACTACAGCTATATATTATTTATGCTCCTAATTTTCATCCTTAATTTTTTGTAAATTTTGAAGGTGAGAAACACAATTAAGGTAAGAAAGTACATACACATAATGTGCAATTACCATTACAGAATTAACTATAATAATTACACAAAAACTCTTTGATGTCACGTTAATTTAACATGTAAAATGTAGAGTGTCATACAACAGGCTCTTTGAAGTAAAGATGATTGATACGAACTCTCGGCTTTTTGTGAACCTTGATATTTAACATATTGTACATATTACATAGCTTACACCTTCCTCTCTAGAAAATCTAGGAACGGGGAAGGTATGAAGTATTCCCCAGCAGGGATATGTGCAGGGATTATATATATTTCTCTTTTAACTGAGTGCCACTGAGAAAGTGTGAGGCTTCAGTTTGTAAAGTTCATGAAAGGCAAGGCCAGCTCACACCTGGAATACACGCTCCCCGATGCACAAATGCCATCTTTATTATTACATCCACACAAACTTCTGAGATTAGATGACTATACTTACTCTGCAGGGAAATATTAAATACATAATAACACAATACTATAAAAAGCTTTCAAAAAGAGATCACAGAATTACTTTACATCAGTGAAGCTAAATATTAAATATTACCTGATCAGTATTTTCTGTTTTTCCAATCTAGTTTAACTAAATCTAACTATAAACATCCCACTAATGTTAAATTATCACAATGATGTAACAAGGCAAACTGCAAAATTAACTTATTTTTTTAACATTAACAGAATGAGCAATGCTCAGAGAAGTCTTTGCAAGAATTAATCAAGCTAGAAACCCCTGACCTGAAAGCAGGCTGATGAACCAAGTGGACTCTAGAGTGGCCTTACAATGTACAGCACCGAAATTCAATGTGATAAAGGACAAGGCATACGTTATACATTTTTAACAGAGGGCCTGGTACAGTATTTGTATAATCTGTTAAAGTTTGCTAAAGGCTCTCATAAGTATTCTCTCACTTGATTCTCATGAAAAATGACTACTTAGTAGAATTAGATTAAATGAATTTTTCTGACTGTCATGCTTTTTAATATCTAACGTATAGTATCAGTGCAGAAATATCTGGAACATTTTCCATTCTCTTTGACAAAGGGTATGTACTTATGAAGTAGAATAGGCTAAAAGACTGAGTAAAACCTGTACACACGGCAAAAAGAAACAGAGGAAAGGGGTTAACTGTGGATTGTGAAAATGAGACACAAGAGGACAACAAAATATGACCAACTCATTTTGTGTCTCAGAAGAGAACGGGAGACTGAGTATGACAAATATAAAATGTCACAAAGATTTCTCAGTAAATGAAATACTTAAACAGGAGAATTCCAAAACTTTAACCCATATTTTCAGTGTAAAATCAAGATCCACCTCCCTCACAACGGGCTCCAACTGGAGAAACTTCTACATCAGAAAGATCTGAGTTCAGGATCAAGTTGGTAGATTAAAACCACAACCACAACAACAAACCAGTTCTTAACAGGACCCTAAAAATGGTGGTGCTCCAGTATTCATCATTAAATCAAAAATTTAACTCCATTTATCCCAAGAAAACATTTAAAAAGATTTAGGAGCACTTAATCTTCAAAGCCAGTGGATTACATTTGCCTGATCCGTAACTGGACACTTCAGACTGACTACAGGTAAAAATTAATATAAAATATTCAGATGCTTTGGGTCCAAAAAGGGAGGCATAAAATATGACCACATTTACTCCTACACTCCACAGACCCCGTGACTAGGGCCCTTGAGACTTAGCCTACTTCCAAGAGGCTACTATGTGGACAGTCTGTAAGTCATTCTACAGTCCAACTCTATTATGTCCAACTTCTGTTCAATCACAATTTCATGTGAGTAGGATAATTACTCCCTTAGTTATTATATGCCTTCTTTGCTACATGCTATATAGAAAATTTCATGCAAAATTATACCACCTTCTAATTGACTACAGTTGTATTTTAAGCAAATAACTTCCATGATGCAAAGCAAGACAAAGAATGCTAACAAGGTCAAATTTTGTAGAAAAAGATACTCTCCTTTATTTAAACGTTTCTAGTTTATATCACAAAACATAATCCAGCACTTCAAAACAAGCAGTCCACTCAATATTTCAAATGACAGGCCTATTGCAACACTTTTAGTTGCTATTTTTAACCACTGATATATTATGTTTAATTTGCAGATAATCAACCAATCCTCACAAATTCAAATTAAGATGATTCACAGAAAACTACATAAAAACACAAAATATAAAACCTAGACCACTTTAACAAAACAACTAATGGCCTTAAACTAAAACATCAAAACGATGTGAAATGCTTACTAAAAGTCAACACGTATTTCATGTGTGTCTAATGAGAGACAGAGGTATTAACAAATCAACGTATTTGTTGACCCTCAATTATATACCCAAAACCTGCTAGATGCCATTAGCAAAAGCAGGCAGGACCACATACACCAGCCTCTGGAACACACTCCAACTCGCAGATGCCCTCCAGGAGCCAATTTCCATAGAACCCCAGTGTGTACTGCTCACTGGGGCAGGTGCTCCCAGGCTGGACCCAATGATAGCAAGGCAGACACTGAGCACTACATATACAACTCCAATCACACACTAAGTGCAAGAAAACTGATGAAGACCATGAACTGAGCCCCAGCATGTAAACGACCTAGACCCAAACTGATGCACAGAGTACAAATGAGACCCCCAACCAAGGTCTAGAGTCCACACAGCCGGGACACAGAGACACAGCAGACCCGCACCCAGGTCTAGACATCACGCAGCTGGCCCACTGAGTGACAAGGAGACCCGCACCCAGGTCTAGACATCACGCAGCTGGCCCACTGAGTGACAAGGAGACCCGCACCCAGGTCTAGACATCACGCAGCTGGCCCACTGAGTGACAAGGAGACCCGCACCCAGGTGTGCGTCCACATGGCCAGGGATTGCCCTCTGACGGCCCCGTCACACTTTTGTCAACCTTGCCTTAGGGAGCCGAGCTTTCCTTCCAGTTTTGTGACAGCTGAGAATCAGGAACACTCCTTTCTATGCTCATCATGACAGTAAACACAACAGTTCTCCAGGACTCCATTCTGCATTTTACAGAGTAAGTGTTCTAAATCCACATGGGAAGTGAAACCTCAGGCAGCACAGCAGGCTCCCTGTGTCCTGCCTTGGGTCGCCTGTCTGTGTCTAACCTGAGTCCTGGTTCCCATGCACTGAGAACTCTAGGACGGGGAGGAAGGGCCAAGTTCACTTCCCTCCAGAGTCAACTTGAATTCAACTGAGATACGACTTTTAAAGTATAAGAGTAAAAGGAATTCTCAACTTGTAATCAATTACAAAGAATGCAAGAGTGCTTAGGTTACTCTGGAAATCTTAGTCTTTCAAACATTCCTTAGGACATAGCAGTGTGGTAAATATATAGAATGTGGTAACTGTTCACATTAATAAGGCTTTTAAATAAAGATATGTATGTACTAAAAGAGTTGTAATTAAAGAAAAAGCTTACATTTAAAGATGTTCGAATATAAACTAACATTAAAGGCACCTTAATTAAGCTTCTCGAGTGGATTTTTTTTTTTTTGAGACGGAGTCTCGCTCTGTCTCCCAGGCTGGAGTGCAGTGGCCGGATCTCAGCTCACTGCAAGCTCCGCCTCCCGGGTTCCCGCCATTCTCCTGCCTCAGCCTCCCGAGTAGCTGGGACTACAGGTGCCGCCACCGCGCCCGGCTAATATTTTGTATTTTTTAGTACAGACGGGGTTTTACTGCGTTAGCCAGGATGGTCTCAACCTCCTGACCTCGTGATCCACCCGCCTCAGCCTCCCAAAGTGCTGGGATTACAGGTGTGAGCCACCGCGCCCGGCCGAGTGGATGGTTTTAAAGCCATCTTCATGCCCACTAGGAAGACACAACACTGCATGTTAGATGGCAAAGAGAACAGAACGGGCAGGATGGGGCCGGCATGTCACAATGCCTAATTCGCGTCCAATTGGTCGGGTCCACTTGCCAAGGTCATCAAGAGAACCGAGGTCAGGAGAGAAAACTTGGTTCAGGGAACTGTATCGGATGTCTCAAAAGCCTTTAGCTCGAGCAACTTCAGTCTCCCTCAGGAGAAGGGCCACAAATCAACAGTACTAAGGATCAGTAACATTTAATACACGTTTACACAGCACCCAGGAAAAAAAGATGAAATTTATTTTAAAAAGAGAAGCATTACTATCTTCACGAATGATCCTTAATTAAGAATAAATATCGTGAGATGGAAGAAATAGGCTGCAATAACTACGTATGGAAAATGTAAGCTTTCTCCCCATGTGTCAGCTTCTGAGTCCTGTATCATAAATGCTTTCGTGTAACTACTGAAAGTCGAGCACTCAAGGACACTGGCTTCAGGGGAAGGCACAGCTGGACTCCATTCTGGTCTCGGTGTGGCCTGGCTCTACGGTAACTGGCAGAGGGAACACACCGCCTGAGTGCAGCCATTCACGTGAGGCCAGACCGGCACTGACCGTACTCACCACCTGGCGGAGAGGCTGGCAACACTCATGCCTCTCAGCAATGCCAAGGCAGCAGCATGAAGACAGCTGGAGGGCAGGTTTCCCCGGCTGAATGTGCCTGCCCATGGCGTGAAGACCCCTACAGAGCCCAGGGTCCACGTGTCCACCCCGGAAGAATCCTCCTGGCATGAAGTCCTTCTCAAGGCCTACAGAGCCCAGAAACTGGCCTGCTCACCTCTGAAGTCTCTTCATGGAAAACTGTCCTTATTCTCTTTGTATGTTGAGAAATTTATATATGTATGCTTTATACATACACACACACACGTAACATTTATATCATACACAGATGTAATTTATATATAAATAACAGCAAACACCCACAGAATTGTCACCTATTAAAACTGTCATATACCCATCAAGCATTTTTTAAAGACACAGAACACTAGGATAAGATTAATCCTCTTTCAAATTCTATCCTCCAAAAAGCTAACATGTGTACTTCTCCTGGAGTTCGCTGTATAGTTTTGCATAGTGCAGGCCAACAGTTAAACACAAGCACACAAAGCTGCCCCGTTGTGTGACACCTGCCTTCTCCATGGGCCTGGCACACTGGCCCTTGGATCCTTTTCTTCAAGGTACTGTCTCTTGGTAGCAGGCTGCTAGCAGGAATGGTCCTCACACTGTTCCTGTCGCCCGCCTCATCCTGCCACATCTGCATATTCTTTAAATCTAATTTAGATGTTTCTTCTTCAGAAAAGCTGCCCTTAGACCTGGTCTATATAAGCTTATTTTCTTTTGTGAGACAGAGTCTCGCTCTGTCACCCAGGCTGGAGTGCAGTGGCGCCATCTCAGCTCACTGCAAGCTCTGCCTCCAGGGTTCACGCCATTCTCCTGCTTCAGCCTCCTGAGTAGCTGGGACTACACATGGCCGCCACCATGCCCGGCTAATATTTTGTATTTTTAGTAAAGACGGGGTTTCACCGTGTTAGCCAGGATGGTTGATCTCTTGATCTGCCTGCCTCGGCCTCCCAAAGATGGTCTTGATCTCCTGACCTTGTGATCTGCCCGCCTCAGCCTCCCAAAGTGCTAGGATTACAGGCTTGAGCCACCGTGTCTGGCCTATAAGCTTCTTTAATTACAAAATTTCCATGGCATTCTGTACTTGTTTGTGTTACTTAGCACAGTAACGTTATCTAGATCACCTTCTTAATCTCTGTCCACAAAGCCATAAGCTCCCTGAGGACAGGATCTGTAACTGCCTTGCCCCAGACCACATCACCATGCCTGGTGTAGAACAGGTGCTCCATGCACATGCATCGGGGAGTGAGTGGCATCCAGGCGAGAAGGGCTACCAGTATTGGGCAGCGCTGAGAAGACACAGCTCCGACAATCTAGCCTCACATTCCGGGCTGCCATCACCTTTCGGGCACTCTCTTCCAGGGCGCCTTGCTGCTAAGCCCCATTACTGGCACCAGCATCAACATCAACCCATTCCTGCTTCTGTAGCGTCTCTCATTAAGGAACACTGACAAGTTTGTCAATAAACAGGTCAAAGACGAACAGAATATCCCTATACTCTTGCACAAAGGCTGCATCACCTCTCCCTGTCTCGGGCCTTGCAAACCACGTGCAGTGTCTGAGGAGCAGCACAAGCCTCACCACAAGCTCCCAGGACTGTCTCAGACCCACTGAGCTGGAGTCTGCATTTAGCAAGGTCCCTAAAGATTTCAGGGCACTGTGAGAAACACTTGTTTGGAGTCCCTGGACAAAACAAAGCATCATCTATCCGGGAGCAACCACACTCAGAGGAGAATGCTTTCCTTACCCGATGCAACAATGGTGCTTGCCCACAATGTATTTTCTATGCTGAGACTTTCATGAACGGGCGGGTCACTGTCTTCCTGTGCAGGGAGACAAAAAGAAAACACAACTGTCAAATAAGTGACTGTTCATTATTCATACCTTAGATATCCTCAGTGTTAGAAACAGGTCTGCAAGCTCAATCCAAGTGAACAGCAGTGCAAAGGCCCTGCAAAATAGAAGAAAAAAGGGACTATAAAAAATTGAAAGTACAAGTTCAAAGAAGTCCCGTAATCAATTAATTGCTTTCAGTGCTTAACATTAATACACAAACAAAATAATTCTAAATTTTCATGAAAGTACTACATCTTCTAATATTTATTTATTTATTTATGAGGTGTTATTATGTCGCCCAGGCTGGTCTCAAACTCCTGGGCTCAAGCAATCCGCCCATCTCAGACTCCCAAGTAGCTGGGTTTACAGTTGCATCCAGCATGCCTACCTTATTCAACTACATCTTTAACACGTCATTTAACAACACTCCTGGAAAGGTAGAAAATATTAGCACAGAAACAGCCACAAGTCAACTCTTCAACATTTCTTTTGCATGCATAGCATAATGTCCTCTTCCTATCTCTCGTGAAGGACAAGGGCAATGCTTTTTAAGTGTACATGTATTCACGAGAGAGAAAATGCTTCGTGAATATTGTTGTAAAATAAACATATATTTTTAAAATGTATTTCTCTTAAATTCCTCTTTAAAAGTATGCTATTATTGGCCAGGCGCGGTGGCTCACGCCTGCAATCCCAGCACTTTGGGAGGCCGAGGCGGGCGGATAACAAGGTCAGGAGATCGAGGCCATCCTGGCTAACACAGCGAAACCTCATCTTTACTAAAAATACAAAAAATTAGCCGGGCATGGTGGCGGGCACCTATAGTCCCAGCTACTCGGGAGGCTGAGGCAGGAGAATGGCACGAACCCGGGAGGCGGAGCTTGCAGTGAGCCAAAATCGTGCCCTGCACTCTAGCCTGGGTGACAGAGCGAGACTGTCTCAAAAAAAAAAAAAAGGTATGCTCTTATTACACTAAATATTCTTAAACAAAATTCAAGTAAGTTATATGATGCTAACTACCTAAACAGATAGCAAGCAAATATGGCCACACACCAGTATCACAACAGCAATACATACAGTCTAGTTTTACATTTACACTTTCAATGTTCATATTCAGAGAAGAAAATTACAATTTAAAATCTGGGAATTTTTCATCTTGATGTAAAGTCACAGCCTACATTTTGGTTATGGAAGCCTTACTAGAATAAAGGACCGCAAGCGCCACAGCCCTGCATCTAGAAGTAACACAGGGAAGACGTCCTGTGTGGGAGGTAATGACCTCACCATCTGGATAGGGTAAAAGCCACACACTGTCCTGACTGCCGGGCGTCCGTCTCCCGTCAAATAATGCCACCTCCACAGAACTGTATTTTATTATGAAATGGTAATTTGCTATCAGGATATATAGCTTAAGAAAAGAAAAAGAAATCAAATTTGAAAACGAAAGAAATTGAAAACATATTTTCCAAAATAATCTGCATGTACAAAATACGTTTATGCTACTGGTGTTTCCCTTCTATTTACTTATCAAGCCACTTTTAAATGATGTAATTTTGGCCATTTTGCTCATTACTTGGGAGATATTGGTTGGTCATTTTGCTCATTACTTGGAAGATATTTGCTAGATATTTGATTCTCTCATATACTTATTTGTGAAGCACAGAATCTAAACCAATCCTAACCGTTTCCAAAATATTTCCCCTAGTATGTCAATTATTTAGAAACTAAGGTATTTTCAATTACATTCAATCTGAGGAAGGAGTTTGGCCTCCAGTTGCCTTGTATGCCTGAAATAGCAAGCCCAGGAGTTGGGAAGCGTCCTGCAATGCAGGTGCAGCTCAGAGTCAGACTCTCCGGGCCCTGGGGATCGTGACCCTTCCACCACATCCCTTCACAAGAAGCAACCACCTGACCTGAAGACCGACCTTAGCATCTGAGCCTTTGGGGGAGTGAAGGCTATGATGCTGGGAATTGTTTACAACACAGCTGGAGTGCTGTTTCTTTGGGAAAAAAAAATCATTTCAAAAATAGACACTGGCATCTAAATAAACAGTACCTTGGTTACATCATCTACAATATGATCTCAGTAGGCACAAGTGCAATGCCAGCCACAACAAAAGACACAAACAGGTCTTCTCAGGGACGTCAAGGGTTTTAAGGAGCAAGTGCCCTGCAGTCACAGCTGGGATGGAAACAATCTGTCTGCAGCATGTGCTGACTCCAGCATGGACCAACTACTATTCCTGCAGATACACAAACACCTTCAATTCTACGGTCCCTTAGGAAGTTCTTCCTTCAACCCCACAGCCCCTTAGGAAGTCCTTCCTTCAATTCCAGTTTATCAAGTACAACACGTTGCACGCTTTGCTGAACTTAGCAGTTACACTTACAAAAATCTGATAATTAACCTGTACTGATATGCAAAATAGTAAGGATATATATTTTTAAGTGGAAAACCTGAGAATTATATTATCCCAATATAAGTCTGCATGTTTACAGGGGAAAAGAACTTAAAAGGAAGAGTCAAAAGAGTAATACTAGTATCTGTATCAGGAAGGGAGGAGGGCTGTAAAAGTGGTTTATACCTTTAACTACTTTATTTTTATATAGTTTCATACTAATGGTAATATGTTTACAAATGTCAATATATACTGGAATCAAATTAAGCTTCTGCACAGTAGCAAACACACCACCGTTACAGTCTTTAAAACACAGAAGAACATTCAAGTACTTAATTTTCCAACACTGTTCTTGTTTTTTTCCATAGAAAATGCCAGATGGAAATTGCCTTTTGTTTACTTTGTTTATAACTAAAGTAGCTGTTCAAAGTACAGGCATATAATTTATCCAATGCTGAGATAAACAATCCAGAAAAACTGAGTTACCCCTATGACTTTTATGATTTGATAGAACAAGAAAAATATCAACTTTAAAGAAAAAGCAAGTAGCCTCTGTGGATTAGACCACTTTGTAACTGAATTTAGGATTGCACCGAAATGGGTAATTTCTGACTCATGCAAAAAATGGTGTTACAGTCTAACTCAGCTTCACACTGTGGAAGAAACAAAAAAAGATACATATCCTCATTCCTACTTCCCAGATACAGTTGGCATGGTATATCCTTTACCTCCTTTACCTGCTGGGAGTCTAGAGGTTCCAGCGTTGGCAGAGCCAGCTGAGCATACAGTTGGCATTAAGAAGTCAAATACTGAATTCTATATTTATCATTTTAAGGCATGAAGCAATACAATTTCTGTCTACCATAAATTCAGAAGTTTATTGTATCAGAGCAACTGACATGTTTCTAATCCCATGTTTTATGGGTTTTACCTTCCTAGCACCTAGCACAGAATAGGCAATGAACATTGTCCAATAAATAAAAGAACACTCATGAAATTCTTTTTCTAATATCCACAGGAATCAAGATGTCTTTACCTCCAGTGCCTACTAGCACGATGCTAAAGAAATGAGTCACCTGCTTGTAGTTAATTTGAGTCTCCTTCTTTTAGGAAGCATCAGGTACCTGCTCCTCCACGCCCTCCTGCCTGCTGTTACTCTAAGCTTCCTGCCTCGATCATTCATCAGGTACCTGCTCCTCCACGCCCTCCTGCCTGCTGTTACTCTAAGCTTCCTGCCTCGATCATTCATCAGGTACCTGCTCCTCCACGCCCTACTGCCTCCATGATGCACCAGGTACCTGCTCCTCTAGGTTCTCCTGCCTGAAGATGCCCATCATGACTTCACCACCCCAGTAGAAATTCACACAACTGTATTCCCTTTAAACTCTTCCTAATGATTCACTTGACGTGAAAGTTTAATTATTGATGCATGTCAATATTTTAGAACTATATTTTCTCCTAATGTCAAAGTCCAAGAGATAAGGGCATTAAAAAACATAAAAATTTTAGAAGGGTTTCTCAAATGTAAACAAAAGTTTCTATATAATTTAGTTTTAGAAATTTTAGCTGGTTTCCTGTTACTTTTATATGACCATTTTTTCATATGAATGTTTCTGTTTCTCTCTAACACAATTTTATGTTGAAGAAAACACAATACCTACGCATTTTTCTTTCAGTTCTGGAATGGCAATGATTGACTATAAACATTAAACATTTTTCTAACATGGAGAAAATTATTCCAAAAGGTAGTTTTTTACCAGACTCATGAAGCACAGAATAAACGACTGGGAAGACTTTATCTTCCCAGTCTTTTAGATAAATAAATTATCTCTAAAATGTTCCATTTTGCTTTCCTTCTCTTTAATGGTCTATAGTGTGAATAGATAAAATGTGCTTGGGTGAGGACGCAAAATGTTACCATTTCATGCTGTTCTCTCAACAGCACACCCTACTTAACAAACAGCAGAGGTTTGCTTTTTTGAAGGAGAGTATTTTGGCTGAAGAAGACATGAGCAATGATAAGTGTGCTATGGTTTGCAAAAGAAATTACAGCAGAAAATACATTCTCAAAATGACGAACTTGGAATGTGACGTTAAAGGACCATAAATACTGCTAATATTTCAAAACTGGCTACAATTTCCAAATCCAAACTTCCAGGAGAATACATATAGATTTTGAACAATTAGTAAAATTAGCAATATCAATCATTCACATAATGAAAAAGGTTATACAATCAGTAATTTAGGTTGTTCTCACATTACCTGAGAAAAGCAGAAGCAGACACCATCACAGCCCCACATCTATATTAAATTCTGCACAGGCATCAGCATGCATATTGAGTATATTGCCACAGGGACCTTGAATTAATTTGCTCTAATTCCGTATTTATTTATTTTTTAAGACAGGGTCTCACTCTGTCACCCAGGTTGCAGTGCAGTGGTGCAATCACAGCTCAGGGCAGGCTCTACCTCAATCTCACAGGCTCCAGCAATCCTCCCACCTCAGCCTCCCAAATAGCTGAGGCTACAGGCGTGCTCCAGCTGTAGCCATCCCACTAGGCTAATTAAAAAAAAAAAAATTTAAATTA